GGGGGGGGGATGAAGCTTCCTGTGGTGAAAAGGCTCACTGCGGTGTTTTCTGTAACTGTTTCACCCTCGCTGCCTGCTGAGGGCTAGGATGCCCTTGCTTCCATTTCTATGGTAGTCCCTTCACCACCACCTAATAGCAATAGCAGCAAAACATCTATACCTACTTTTTGTGTCTGTACATCTACACTTCAGGCTCCTCTTGCCCAACTCATTTGATACTCCATCTCCGAGCAATTACTGACGGCACCCCGTGCCTAGAGACCCAGTTACTGATAACTCCCCCACCTCCCTTTCCATAAAGGGCTAAGAGGGGATAATTGGGGAAACTTAATAGTACAACTTTCTTTTGATCTCTGGAAAAGCCAAACAGAATGATAGGGGAGAGAGGCTGAGAAAGCATAGGGGGTTGGTACCCACTTTGGGGGACAACCAGAACATACTATCTCTGAAATTGCTTCTCCAATCAAAATGTGCTTAACTCAGATTTTCTAGATTAGAACTGTAGACAAAAGAAGGTAAAGGATAATATCCAGGTATGTCAAGAGCGGGGAGTTCATGTATTTGTATCAGAGAAATGTGAGCAAGTTGTTTCAGTTCTAAAATGTTTGTTTTATTTCTTCCTCTGCAGCATTCTGCCTATAACAAATGCTTGTCTTTCTCTTTCAGGCATCTTCTCAGGCAGAGCTATGATCTGTCTCCCAAAACCTGGCTTGGTCAGAAACTTTCAGGAAGTCCTAGTAAGAGCCACTTAACACTGATATCAAGGGGGAAACTTAACCCTAATATACTAGCTTTAAAATGCCTTTCTCTTCACTGAAGTAAGGGGCTGTTGAGTTACTATTTTTATTTAAAATGAGTCCTTCCAAACTAAGGTGTTCTTTTGGTGCTTCTCTGCAAAGAGCGTGTCTTTGCAGTCTTTGATAAAGGTTTATAGGTTTACAGGTCTTTCCTCCCCCTCTACCCAGTTAAAAAGAGCAAACAGAGCTCCTAAACTAGTCTGTGCGCTGAGATCATTTCAAGAAGGCTAGTATGAGAAAGAAGGTACCACATACTCACTACTCTCAGGCATACAGTTGGCCAGGAACTTGGGTCTTTTCATAAAATGAAGCTTACGTTTATAAGTCCTACTTTGAAGATTTTAGGAGAGACTGGAACTCTCCAAATTCATAGAAGGTTCTGAATCAGTAGAATCTCTACAAATTAGTTTGGGCTACTAGGACACCTTTGGTCATCATCTTGGCTTAGGGCTCCATCTGCCTGCCTAACATCTTAAAGGAAAATGTGTCAGGGACTTCGGGAACTGCCACTGAGCTTCAGCAAGGCTATGGGACTTAATGCTCCACATTAAAGGTACCTCTAGGAGGATGCACCCCTCCATTCCTACTCCTGTGGAAGAGTAGTCCAAGGTCAGGGAAGGGAAGGGCATGGATAGGGTCACACAGCGTGGTTAACTACAGAAACAAAGGCCATCAATAGTGAAGGGGAAAGAGGAATTTTTTGTTGCTTGGGAGTTGACTTGTAAGCACCTTGATGAGAAAATCTACAGATAACCATTTAAAGAATCAATTCTGTAGCTTTTAAAGCAAAATGATCACCTGTTGCTGGTAACGACAAATTATGCAAAACCAAAAATCACTTAGTTCTTACTGGTCATGAATGAGCATGGAAGGAGGAAAACACATTTCCTCCCATATAATTTTAGTATTATAGTGAGCTAAGATTTAAGGAAAGGGTTCTTCATACTTAATTACATGAGACAGCACTTGAAAATCTTTTTTCAGACTCCTTCCAGAGTCTCATTTGAGGAAGGTGCTTTAAAAAGGAAGATCTTTTAAGTTTATAAAGAATGAACAAGTCATCTTGAACCAAAAGAAGGTGATGTTGGAGCAATTACTCCAATAAGCAGACCTCTGATATCCCTTCAGAACAAAAGCATTTAGTACCAAATTACTTTTTTAAAAGAAGTTTAGGACTTTAGTTTTGGGGGCTGAACCACATAATCTTAACACCTCACCCACCTCCATATGAACTGAAGTCCTATTATTAAGTTAACTTTTCTGCTTTAAAATTTCAAGACTGCACAGTCACTGGGAAATGATATAAAATTTAATAGTAGCTATATAAAATTCAGTATTTCAAGTGCCTGCTGCTACTATGGTATGGTTTACCATAATGCTTAAGGGCATGATCAGAATTTAAAACCATGTATCAAGATACTCCTGTATTATGATTCTCCATGTTAATCTTGGTTCCATACATAGATTTTGATAAAACACCTCCTTAGCAAGTAATTGTATATGTAAAATATTCTTAGCCTAGAATTGGTTAAAAAGGCAGACATGTCTAATAGCCTCTATTTTTAAATTGGTATACTTCACCTTCTCTTTGATGTGGCTATAAATTGGTACATGCCTTTCCACTGAGTATGTTACAGGTTAGCTGTTAGGAGTTAAACCCAGTTCTTTACTAGTACTATTTGATAGGCATGAAAATAAGTCTATAGAAAAAAAAAAAAATTGAAGATGACAACCCTATAGAAACAAACTGGCCAGACTTACAGTAACTGAATGCTGCACATGCCATTCTCTTCCCATTCAATCTAATAATTGTAATGATAGGGATTTTCAGAGTACTTTATTTCAAAGTACCCTGTTTACCAAGAAAGTACTATTTTGCCTAGAGATGAACTCAAGATTTTTGTTCATCTCCTTTGAAATAAGGTGTGACTGAAGGGTGCTTATTCTGGACCTAGCTGTGAATGCCACTGAGGAATAATCAGCACAGCTGCTAATTACATCTTCAGCAATGCTATAAAAAGTTGAAGAGCTCCCTCAAAATTGAAGCTGAAATTGTTTCAGCCTAGGAAGATGCCAGCAGCCTTTTCATTGGCAAACATGGCCAGGTTATATTCAAGTAGCCTGGCTGGACAGTGCACAGTGGTACACATTAGCCTTAAGGACATAGCCTACAGTGACATAAGTGCGGTTATGAAACCTCAAGTTTAGCTAGTAAAATTTCCTAGTAGTCTCTTTAAATCAGTATAATTTAAGTCCATAGGAAGTGGCAGTACTAAGAGCTGTATTGCCAGTTTTAAGACCTTCGTTCCTGTTGCAGCTCATGGCTAAGCTCGTGCGCAAATCATAAAATGTCAACATAGGGCTGTTTTGAAGCTTAAACGGGAAATAAGGATTGATGTAAAAATATGCTGCAATGGCAACATGTTATGTATGCTAATGGAAATTTCAAGGTCAAAGAATAGGAAGTTACTGCTCAGATCAGATAGCTATCCTGCAAGGATTTCCCAGAGACTACACTGCTTAGGTTTAGCTTACATTACATTTGTCAGGTAAGCTAATTCATGGCAGCCACTTATAGTTTGTAAGTGATAATTTCCCTTTATTAAGTGAATAGATTGTCAAAGCCCATAGTAGCTTGAAATGTGTGTACTTGAAAAAGGGGGTAGGAATGGGAATATACTTTTTTCAGGACTGCATTTATTGGCATATTCATAAAAGCAAACAATGGAGCATGCTGAAACATCTTGCTTGGGTAAGCCCCACAGTCTTGACTGTTACGGGGGAACAAACACTAGAATTTTCAAAACTAAGTATGTAAATATGCTTATATCTTAAAGTCATGTAATTTTTTTGCTAACTCACCAACAATAAGCTGACAGTTTGAACAACTTGCTGTATAAAACTGAAGTGCATGGCATCACACTAACATTTGTATCGTTTATCTACTTTAGAAAATAGTTTCTGAATTCATTCCCCCTTTATACCGTATCATGAAGCAAAAAAACCTTTTGAAGCATTAAAAAAAAAAATCTTCACCCAAATAACTTTGGTAATTTGAGTTCAGTTGCCTTATGTGAGGATGAATAGATCCAACAAGCACATCTATAATACAAAGTAAACTATGATTTTATTGTGAAATTCTCATAGATGGAAAATTAAATTGAATATTTATTCTGTCCATTTCATTTTACAATAATCTTACCACTTATTTTTGTACCATGTATTTCAATTGCCTGTTTAGTGAAAATAAAAAAACCTTTAATTTTTGGCTTGTTTTTAATTTCAATTTTATCATTGAATTCAAGACCCCACCATAAAATGTGTTGCCGACAACCACATCCCAAGCCCCTAAGTAAAGAATATTTTGGCGGCTACTTCCACCCCAAGGAAAACAGTCTTTGATTTCTATCATCTTAAAATGCCAGTGTTAGCAAAAGATTTGTTTCCCGCAATAAAAACAAACCCTAGAATCTTTAACAAAATTTTCACATGTGCAAAATTCCACTGAAATAAATATATTTCTCTCATTTATCATTCCCACCCAGCGTTCATGTTTTCAGTTCATTGTTAGGGATATAATTTCTAAAATTAGGGCAATCAAATAGTAAAATTTTCCTGCTTTCTACATTAATGCTTTACCCCTCCACCCTAAGTTACACCATTGTGGAGGATACAACAGTCGCTCGACATCTGACTCAGAGCATGGAAGAAATATCAGCACATGCGTTAGTCAGTCTGATCATCTGCCAGTTAGGAAAGGTGATGCTTTCCACCTTTACCACACAAAAGAATAAAGTATTGATCAATGAAGCCATTTCAGATGGTTTTAGAAAAGGATCAGAGATTATAGGCTAGATGGCATACATCCTAAACTTGTTTTCCATACCACTTAATCTCCCTGAACCACTAAACTTGATTAAATCCCTACCCAGCACAAAGCTTCCCTAGGTCATTTATTGGGTATATTGTCTGGAAAGCATATTGGATGCTGCTCTAAGGTAGGTAGGTCTACAATGCCCTGGTTGCACACACAAATGGATGTTTTAAGAATAATGCAAGGCTCTATTTCCCTTTAACCATAAGAATTAAAACAATACTTATCACCATACGGTTGGATATTACTTCCAATAAGTACAATATTTATTAAACATATCTTCAGTTGTTTTGTTACATAGTGTGCAACAAATTACAATATTCTGCAGCCACAAATTATATGCAGAGTATGAAGAAACTAGTAATCAGATAGTGTAATCTTTCCGTTTATAACTCTACAAGGAAGAACTAGCAAATCAGATCTTACATATAACATCTCACTAAACTTTATGCATGGAAAGTGACAGACACTGGTTGTGCTGTTTGATACAAAATGGCTGAACTTCATCTTCAGAAGACTAAACCTGACATCTAAACATGCCAATATAAACATCAAAACAAAATATATTCTAACCAACCACGGGAAACAGTCTGGTATCAGGAAAGCAACAAGGATTACACACATTATTTTATAAACCAGCACACAAAGGTTTAAAACAGTTCTGAAAATGAAGTTAGCTGTCTTGAGTCAAGGGAATAAAAAAAAAGTCAGTATTGACCATGTACAATCTCTGACCTTTGTGGAGACGGTAAGAATCTGTTGTAGTGCAGCTACATACAGTACAATTCAGGCAATTTTGTTTTTTCACTTGGGTTCAGATTGCAAATTCATTGCTGTGAGAAAAAGACGGAGGCAAATTTTAGCAGCAACCTCCACCTGACTGCTTGACCGGAGTGCTCTGAATTTTAACATTGGACTTCTCTGCACCACCAGCTGTTGCTCCAGGACCCATTCGCTTTTTAATCTCAGCTGCCATTGTCATGAAAGACTGTTCTACATTCGTTGCGTTCTTAGCACTGGTTTCCAAAAATGGAATTCCAAGGGAATCAGCAAATTCCTAAGAGAATAACAGGGCACAATTAACACTGGAAAAAATCTTCACTTTTAGTGCACTTCTATCTAAAATGGGCAGTGAGGAAAGACCAAGTTTACTGAATCCAAACAGAAGCCATACAAAAATTGTCATTTCAAAGTACTCTAGTGCACATTTTAAGAGCAAAAGGCTGTGATCACTGTATGACTCCACATCCATACATAATTCAAATTCAACACCTTCAAATTCCGTTGAAAATCAAACTTTAAACATACCTTTGCTGTTGTGTAGTCTACTACTTTCTTTGTGGTCAGGTCACACTTGTTCCCTACCAACAACTTGTTGACGTTTTCACTGGCATAGCGATCTATTTCCTGCAGCCATTGTTTAACATTATTGAAGGACTCCTAAGAAGACAGACATTTTTCAGGATGATAATATGGTTCTGCTCTATAACAACTGCTCTAATGAAATAACTGATAAAGAAGTGTTTTTCTTGACCTAAGAATTAATGAAGCAACTCTAGCTACAAAATAATAATTATAGTACTGGCTAAGAAGTAAACTGATTTAATATTAAAATAACTACCCATATCTAAATAAATAAGAAATCAGAATTTGAAGGCTTGAGGATAAAAATATTTTATCTGACAGAGAAAGCTCAGTATCAGACTATAACTCAAGCAAATTTGATATATATAAATTGAAATTTGATTTTGGTTTATGAATAGATAACACTACTAAAGACAAATTATTAAATGGGTCCAAAGTAAAGGTGCTTATTTTCTTTACCTCATATTAAGAAATTTTTTATTTTAAAACATTTCATGGTAATGACATGAGATCTGAAATTAGTGTGATTTTTGTCCTCCTGTTGTATCACTCACCCAATAACTTCTCATGGCACTGAATCTAAGGTCTTATGATTCCCGTTATCTCCTAATTAGCTACATCGTAGTTGAGGTGAGATTTAACATTGCTACAAGAAAAATAAGTTCTAAACATTTACTTTATTCTTTAATAGGAAAAAAAAGAACCCTGACATTTTCTAATCAAAACAATAGTTATGGTCCTTGGACCACCTTCTTCACACTATCCCTACCCTCCTCCACCTTCTCTCAAAAGCTAATCTCCGGATATTCTTTGTCCTCCCCTAAAATCTCCCTCTAGCTCATACTACTACTGAACCACATGCTCCATGGGCAGAGACCCATAATCTTGCTTTTGGCAATTCTGACATGTCTAACTACCGGGCAAATTTGTTAATACTTTAGATAAACCAATAACCCACAATTCCCTATAAACTCTTGCTAGAATGATCAGTTTTATTTAGTTGATAATAAATATAACCAGAGTCCCTTGAAAGCAAATGTAAAACTAATTACTAAATTTTCTATTTACTTAAGGAAAATAATATGAAATTTTGGTTGACCAATTCATTAGGTACCCAAATAATGTTTATTTGATTCACTTATTTGGAAGTGGACCAAGTTTTTGGCCATGTAAATAATATGGATGGCTATTTATCAAATAGTTACTTCCTACTTGGTCACTGTAACACAATTTCCTCCTGGAACTTACCTGATCTGTCACATCATACACAACTATGATGCCATGGGCTCCTCTGTAATAACTGGAGGTGATTGTTCGAAATCTTTCTTGGCCTGCTGTGTCCCACTATTATAAAATAACCAAGAAATCCAAACAATTCCATTAAGACAGAGTTGGGGAAAAGGGCAGGAGGAGGGAGAACAGTTTCATTTATATGGTTAGGGAAATGACCAGGATTTGATATGGAAATATTAGCCCTCAGTGCCCACACTAATAAATTGCATGGTAACTGCCAAATACCTGAAGGCCCAGAAAAGAAGGTAAATTTAGTGCCTACAATTTAGCTTGTGGTAATGCTACCAATGCTACCAATATTACCAGCTCTTTGAGATTAGGAACTATGTCATACTTTTCATATTCCACACAGCCCTTAGCACCGTATAAGACATTCAGTATGATTATAGAAACAGACTGTCTTGATTAGGAAGGCTACTTGGCCTAACACCCCTTTAACATAGTACACTCACACACAAGAATAACATTTGCTACCATGTTTTAGCATCATGGAAAGCACTGAAAGGATCTAATTAAGATAATTACCAGTCAAGATAGCACTTTAACCACCTCTGGAAAGTATTATCTTAATCCTAGGGAAAACAATGTAAGGAAGATGATTAAAAATACTTCCATAAAATTCATTTTAAGAGCAACTTGCCACACTTCAACCACTTACACTTAAACACCAAAAACAAATGCTCATTTAAATTACTACATTAAAATTGTGGGTTTAAAAAAAACTGGAGGGAAACTCAATTGTTAGATTTTAAAAGCCTTGGTTTTAAAAAGGGCAATGAGAATTTTGTTTTAAATTGCTCTTAGACAATGGCCTCAAAAAAAATTTGTATAATTAGAATAGCTACCTACCCAATTGGTAAAATGTAACATCTTGATTGATGGGAAAATAACAGAATGGTTACTGTAAAAATAAAAGGACTTGAAGCTTAAGACCAGTGAAGATCAAGATGCAATAGCCTTTATGGGGAGGGAATTACAAAGTTCTGGAGTATATCTGTGACACTGACATTGATCCCCTCTAACGTTTTAAATGGCAAAATTAAAAACAAAAAAAAACCTGGTTCAGGAGCACTCAGTGAAATCACTTCCTTTTCCAGCAGACACAGAGCTGTTAAAAACAAGTTGAAATTTTGGGGAAATGTGAATACAGACTGGATATTAGATAATATTGAGGCTTTAGTGTCCATTTTGTAAAATATGATAATGGTTACATACAAAAACAGTATG